TTTCTACATCAATGCCCCTGCGATGATCAATTGATTGTCAGAATATTCCATCTATCAATATTCTATCCGATAGTAATTATCATACGACTGTGATCACCGATAGCTCTAAGTCGAAAGAAAAATTAATAAGTCACATCCAAAAGGTAAAACAAAACTGGATGTATGATATCGTAGCCTCTGAAGAGAAAACATAATATAATTGAATCTCTCTAAAATTTCGCAATTATGCGTGAAATTGATTATTAGGGTTGGTCTTCGTCCCAAAATGGGTGAAAGGTGGCCTGCGGACTGCAGTCGGTGGACCCATTTCTTATGACCACAAAAAGACACGCTTTGCGTGCGTTGGACCCCCCACCCGCTGTACAACACTCAGCCTCTCTCTCTCTCTCTACCTATCTTTTTTTCTCTTTCACAGTGAACTTTTTGTAGGCATTCATTCTCCATAGCGCAAAGGATTGAGGAATAAAAAGAGGGAGAAAATAAGACACTGCAGCAGAGAGGAAGAAAGGGAGAAGGAAAAGGGTGACGAGGAATTGAAAGATATCGCGCAACAACCATTAGCCTCCCACCATCTGCACACAACTAACAGTAGTACATAGAGGAGGAGCAGAAGAAGGTACTTGAAGTGGATTGATCTTTTCCTTCTTTTTGTTGTAACACCCTAACTTTTTATCTTTGTTCTATTGAGTGCAACTGTTTGTTCTGATTTCCAGCTCTTTTTGTTCTTTTATTCTAACTCAGGAACACAGATTTGCAGGTTCTTGTGAGGGCAGTGTGCTCGGCGCTTCAGATCAATATCTTTGTCCTGAAATTTTTGGGTCCTTTATTCTCTTGGTGATCTGGAAGTGAGCGAGAAGAAGAAGAAGAAGAGGAGCAGCATCAGCAGAATAAGGGAGTCTTGTTGCAGTTGCTATTGTGGTTTTTGTTCTTTCTCGCCATAAGACCTGAGATGGCATCAGCTTCGCGACCCATGTCCTTCTTCGAAGCCAGAGAGGATGAGCATCGCATGCAGGCGATGCAACAACAACAATCTTCTTCGGTGCCGGCACCATCGACTGCAGCTCCAGTGAAGAAGAGAAGGAACCTTCCAGGAAATCCATGCAAGTACCTTATAGCACAAATCATGCATAGTGATGATGCACGAAGATCGTCGTTAGGATGCTTCCGCTAGCATTGATGGGCCAAACCCTTTCGACTTTTGTTCTTATGATCCTGCAAAACCCTAATTCGGTATTCTAGGTTTGGTTCATCTGTAACTCGGGATTCCAATTCCTCTCGCTGCTATTGTCCATCTACTTGTAAAAGATCTTTTGTCTTAGGTCATCTAATTGGGGGCTTTCATCATATATTATCTTCTTGTTTCTTGTGTTTAATATCTGTTCCTAATGTTCTTTGCATTATGAACAATTCCTCTCTCATTATCTCAAAATCAAATGTACATTATGTTTTCTCTCAATGACTATGTTATATCTTTCTTCATCTGCAATCTCACCATAACCAAATACACAGATCCTAATGCGGAGGTGATCGCGCTGTCGCCGAGGACGCTGATGGCGACGAACCGCTTCGTCTGTGAAGTCTGCAACAAGGGGTTCCAGCGGGAGCAGAACCTGCAGCTGCACCGCCGCGGACACAACCTGCCATGGAAGCTCCGCCAGAAGGACCCCAAGGAGGTTCGCCGCCGGGTGTACCTGTGTCCGGAGCCGACTTGCCCCCACCACGACCCCTCGCGCGCCCTCGGCGACCTCACTGGCATCAAGAAGCACTTCTGCAGAAAGCATGGCGAGAAGAAGTGGAACTGCGACAAGTGCTCCAAGCGCTACGCCGTCCAGTCGGACTGGAAGGCCCATTCCAAGATCTGCGGCACTCGGGAGTACCGCTGCGACTGCGGCACCCTCTTCTCGAGGTTAGTGGCTGGTACTGGAGCACAAATCCATGCATCTCATTCCATCAGACATCCATTTCCACAATATCATGTCATATGTTGCATGGACTCATCATGAGAACATCATTCAAACTATATCATCATAGGTTTCTGCCGTCGACATGGACAGAGCTCATCTTTGTTTTGGTGACCATTGGATGCTCTTCGTCATGAGCTTTCATTTTTTGTCGGAAGGTTTGTTGTGTTGTTGAGGGCGTAGGATTCTTTAGGCTCTCACTCACGGTTGGATTCCACAAGGAAAGAGGGCGGATGAGGAGGCTACGTGTTGGGAAACGCCTGTGTAAGGAACTGCTCCTGCCCTCACGTGAATTGATCTGTGGAACTGTAAAAGGTCATGGAGTTTTCATCTCCAGAAAAGTTCTCCGTTCTTTCTCCCTGGGAACCATTGTTCTCCTTTTATTCTCTCTCCTGTTCACATGATTCCATACAGTAGCTTGCAGGTTTTTTATTCTCTAGTTTTGTTGGCCAGAGTTGGGTAGTTCAAAATGTTCTTGTGAATGATGAAAGTTAGGGTTACTTTCCGTCAGATACTACAGTCCTTCCCATCTCTCTCACATCATTTATTGGAAGTGAGAGTTACATTAGACTTCATTCAAGTGAAACTGAATATTTCTGGCTGAACAGCCGATGAATTAAATGTGGGGCTTAATGATTGTAATTTGTTCGTCTTCCACTTTTTGGTGTGAAAACAACGCTGGGAGGATGTTGTGCATTCAATTAGAGTACTAGAATTGTGGGTGAGTGGCTTTCGTGGTTTTGGCAAAATGCTCTTTAATGGACAGTATGAACAGTCCATAGGAATCGGAACTCAAACATGATAGTGAGCTTCAAGTTCCCTGAAAGAATTCCTCTGTCATAGCATTCGGCTTTTTCAAAGAGACGGTTTCTTCTCTCTCTTAATCTTTTGCTTTCTTGGGTCTATCCATTCTCCCAGCTGAAGAGTTAAGCTTCCCTAACATACAAGTTGGCCACAAAACATACAAAGTTCAGTAAATCTTTCAATTCAGTGAACTCCTGTCTGTCATGAACCAAAAGTATTCAGCATCTTGCATTGATCTCTTCTTCTAACTTGTTAATGCAGGCGTGACAGTTTCATCACCCACCGGGCCTTCTGCGAAGCACTAGCGCACGAGAATGGGAGGCTCCCGTCCGGCCTCCACACTCTCGGCGGCAGCCACATATATGGAAACAGCAACATGTTTTTTAGCCTTCCTCGAATGAGCTCGCACACCACCTCATTGCATGGCCAACACATCATCTCTCCACCAAAACCTTTGACCTCTGGAGTTCCTCGGTCCCCTCCATCCTCCTCCACGTTTCACCTGGACGGAAGCTCGGACAAAGGCATCAGTGAGGGCACCCAGTCGCACCAATCCTTACCTCAGTGCAAGACCTCCCACGGCCTAATGCAGCTTCCTGAGCTTCTAGGTAATACGGCTGCCTCTACCTCGGCCTCTGCTGCTGCAGCATCCGCCGATCTCTTCAACCACAGCTTCTTCTCCAACAACAGCACCATATGCAGGAACCCCATCGCGGATCAGATTTACGATTCTAATAGAATCAATGAGCCAACTGCGTGCTTTGCCGGAAACCTTGTGGATGAACAGATGGAAGGAGGCATAATTTCTCGCTACAGCACCTTGATGAATAATGAACCAGTAATGCTTCCCCAGCAGCTGTCCGCCACCGCATTGCTTCAAAGGGCAGCTCAACTTGGTGCGACATCCAGCAGGGGTTCTTCTTTCCTTGCCTGCTTCAGCGGCAACCACGGTAGTGTCATTGATGGATTTGGACCTCAAATGGAAAACGACACTCATTTCCAGTACCTAATGAACTCACTTGCAAGAGGAGGCATTGATCTAGTGGGCAGCTCCGCAGGGATGGCAACATTCGAGGGCGGTTGCACCACTACCGGCGGGCGCCATGGACAAGAGAACACAGGAGTTGGCACTTTCAACGTAAACAACATTGATGAGCCCAAGTATAACCTTCCGAGTTCCGACGGGCTCACCAGGGACTTCCTTGGGGTTGGTAGCACAACAAGGAGCATGGGGGGTGGGATCTCTCAGAGAGAACAACATCATGGCATTGCTATGAGCTCGGGATCATCAAGCCAATATTCCTTTGCCGGTGGGAGCTTGCAGTAGAGAAGAAACCAGTTTAAAGAATTGCAGGAAAAAGAAGAGAATAACAGGTTGAGTTGCTCTTTGTCAATGTTCAATTAGCTTGATAGGATACATCGATACTTGTATGTCTTTCAATTGGTTTCTCTTATACATTTGAGTGTGATACTGTCCATCTTTCGATTCTTTTTCCATTTTATCTTGATCTGGCAGTTGCCTTTGTTAAGAAAGAATCATGAAGCAAGTAAATAATTATGTCGTTCCTACTTGGTGTTTCCAAGAGCAGAAAACGCACACTTGTTTCTGACTCAGCACTGTGCGTCTACTGCCATCCGTTTCAGTGTTTCTTTGTCGTCCTCCTCCTCCTCTCTGCCTGCACTGCGCTGCTCGGCAGAATAGCAAAAACAAGATAAGGGAGACAAAGGTTTGTGGGGAATGTCAAGTATTCTACTCATGGAATTCATTGTGAGCTATCGTCGGGTTTGGATGCATTAAAACACAGGCACTTCGACAACGTACCAAACAGAACTCAGCACCCAACCCACCTCGTTACGTTCGAGTTCTTTTTCTCCTCCATTAATCTATTCTTACACCTCTCCCGTGCGTAAACGCCACGGAAATAAAGGGCGATACGCATGATGATTTGACCAAGCGTTATGGACTTTCTATATCTTTTGTTGTCCATTTCTAAACCTTATGTATCGCAGACTGCTGCATGGATGATGTTGACTTCATAAAGTGTACATGTTGTCTTATGGATGCCTACACGTACATATATGAACACACACACACATATATATATATATATATACCTACACGTATGCATGCCTGACAAGTATGCGCCACATACACCACCCGAGGCATCGAGCGGATCGGGCTAAAACTTGATATAAGCTCGGCCCATTGGAACCGTTCCCTGTGGCTGCGGGATATACAAAGCAACGGTGGAATTCGGAGGGCGACTGCCACGAGCGAGATGCTGCTGTCGAAAGCCTACCTGATTACCCACAGAGCTCTCTTCTTTGCCTTTCGCCATGGCTTCACTCTCCTGCACACCAAATCCGAAGCCCGATCCCTCCTTCCCGCATTTGCACCACCTCCGATTTCCAGAGCCCTTAAAGGATCCCAACTCCCCCAATTTGCTGCGCTGGACGTCAACACGTACGCCAAGCTTCTAGATTCTTGCACTCGATTGAAATTGCTCGCAGAAGGAAAAGAGATCCATCGACAGATCTTTATGCACAGCTCCTGTGCTAGAAACTCGGTTCTGCTTGAAAAGATTGTTCAGATGTACATATCCTGCAGCGAGACTGAGTCCGCTCGTCTCGTGTTCGATGACGTGCCTCAGCCAAGTGTCTTTCTTTGGAATGCTATGATCAGGGCTTACGCTTGGAATGGCCCCTTTGATCGAGCCATTGGTCTGTATGAACGAATGATGGATTCTGGAGTCGAGCCAAATAAGTTCACGTTCCCGTTTGTGTTGAAGGCTTGCTCGGGTTTGGAAGCACTCGAGGATGGCATTAAGATACATGATGAAGTGAAAAGGGCTGGGCTGGAGTCGGACCTGTATATATCTACTGCTTTGATTGACATGTACATGAAATGTGGTTGCTTAGAGGACGCAGATGAGGTGTTTTGCAGAATGCCGAATAGAGATGTTGTTGCATGGAATGCGATGGTTGCTGGCTGCACACTTCATGGGATGTATGAAGAGATGGTTAGGTTTGTACTAGAAATGCAAAGGATGCGTACAAGGCCAAACCCCTCCACTCTGGTCGCCCTTCTACCTGTGGTCGGACAAGCGAAGGCACTGGGACAAGGAAAAAGCATTCATGCATTTTGTACCAGGAGGTGCTTTGATGAGGGAGATGTGTTGGTGAATACTGCACTACTGGATATGTATGCAAAATCTGAGTGTTTGGTTTATGCTCGTAGAATCTTTGACCACATGAGAATTAGGAATGAAGTGACATGGAGTGCGATAATTGCAGGATATGTTTTATGTGGTAGGATGGTAGATGCACTGCAAGTTTTCGGACAGATGATATCTGAAGGACCTTCCATTGTGGGTCCAACTTCTCTCGCAAGTATTCTTCGTGCTTGTGCAAGTTTGGGTGATTTTGACCGAGGTAGACTGGTACATAGTTATCTGGTTAAATCTGGGCTTCTTATGGACATTACAGTCGCAAACTCCCTACTCTCAATGTATGCTAAAGTTGGTACTATCAGTGATGCGATCAGTTTCTTTGATGAAATGGATACAAAGGACACAGTATCATACAGTGCAATTATATCCGGATGCATCCAGAATGGGAATGCTGAAGAAGCTCTTGATGTCTTCAGAGAAATGGTATCTTCTAGTATGGAAGTGGATGCTGCAACTATGGTTGGAGTGATCCCAGCTTGTTCCCACTTGGCTGCTCTGCAGCATGGAAAATGCAACCATGCATACATCACCAGTCATGGGCTTGCCTCAGATTCCTCAGTATGTAATGCTCTGATAGACATGTATGCAAAGTGTGGCAAAATTGAGATTGCAAGGAAAGTTTTTGATACGATGCCAAAGCAGGACACTGTATCCTGGAATACCATAATTGCTGGCTATGGGATCCATGGGCTGGGTGATGAAGCCATCTCCTTGTTCTTGAGGATGGAACCTGCAGGTTTAGTGCCTGATGATATCACATTCATATGCCTTTTGTCTGCTTGCAGTCATTCGGGGCTAATCGCTCAAGGAAAACACTGGTTTTATGCTATGACAGAGATCTATAATATTGTTCCGAGGATGGAGCACTACATTTGCATGGTTGATCTCTTGGGCCGTGGAGGTCTCTTGGATGAAGCCTATGATTTCATAAAAAAGATGCCTTTTGAGGCTGACGTTCGTGTTTGGGTTGCCTTGCTTGGGGCTTGTCGAGTTCATAAGAATATTGAACTAGGGGAAGAGGTGTCAAGAATGATCCAAAAGCTGGGACCTGAGGGCACTGGAAGCTTTGTTGCCCTATCTAACTTATACAGTGCCACAGGAAGATTTAACGAGGCAGCACAAGTTAGAATCATGCAGAAAGAAAAGGGATTCACTAAAAGCCCAGGATGTAGTTGGTTTGAGATTGGTGGTGTAGTTCATGCTTTTATTGGTGGAGATCAATCTCATCCACAATCATCAAGTATATACCAAAAATTAGAAGAGTTGTTAGTGGAAATTAGGAAGTTGGGTTACCTAGCTGACACAAGTTATGCTCTGCATGATGTAGAAGAGGAGGAGAAAGAACATGCCCTCGTTTACCACAGTGAGAAATTAGCAATAGCTTTTGGACTTCTTAGACTAAGACATGGTCAGCCCATCTTCATTACAAAGAACTTGCGTGTTTGTGGTGATTGTCATAATGCTATTAAGTATATCACCTTGGCTGCAAAAAGAGATATTACTGTAAGAGATGCAAACCGGTTTCACCATTTTAAGGATGGGATGTGCAGTTGTGGAGATTTTTGGTAATAATGTGTCAAAATGATTATCAGGATGCATGAAATGCAACCTATGATGCTTAACACCACCACAAGGTGATTCATAGTGTGAACAGAAGTCTCCATTGATACAAGTTCTTACCTTAATTGGTGTGGACTGTGAGAGCTATGAAGCATATCGCCATGCCACCATGGTCGACAAAAGAGCTCCTGTTTAGGAAATGACACATCATCGTCTAAAAGATGGGATGTCAATATCTGGAAATTTTGTTGCTTCTATCTTCTAAACATGGTATGATAATGATGATGGTTTAGTCCTCAATGTACAACCAAAAAGTGTTCTAGAGGATATTGAATGCATTCCTGGATACTTTTTTGGTGTAAAAAATGAGTGGTACAGATGGTGAATTGAGTTTAGCTGTCGGTAGCAGTCAATATTAGGAGCAAAGTGAGTTTTCTTTATCACAACTCCGAAACCTGTCGTAACATGTGTGTTGCTTCTTTCTTGTGAAGTTGCACTTTGTACTTCTCTTTCCTGCATAGTAATATATGTTGGAGTACAATCAGTTGTAAAGTTATCTTGTTAGGTATTTTGTATATTTAAACAAATAGTTTTATTATTTATCCCTGGCTTAATATATTTCCTTATGGAACACGAGAATGAAAAAGGGTGCCAAACTTTTAAAATGGTTGGGTTGTGCAATGATATCTAATTTTCAAATGTAATCATATTAATTGAGCTGATGGCCTACAAATATCAGTCATTGTTGGTTATTATCTATATGTGATGTGTTGTGGAAGGGCTGAATGGTATCATCCAAATCTGTTCCATTTGACTTTGTCTCTGTGCATCTTGAGTCATGTTTTGGTATTGGCTAATTCAGATTGTCTCAATAATAAGCAATGATATTGGTACAATGTTCACTTGGTAGGTAATGTTGAATGATATATATTGTTCATTGGTACATCTTTGTAATGTAAATTTAAATTTATTTAGAAATAACTTTGATGTTGAACCAATTGTGCACACTCATTCTTGGTTGTAAAGATTCCTTTTAGTAAGCTGTTATTTTTCTGTTTCCTGCAGGACAAATTACATTCTCGACAACCATTGCCAAGTGTTGGTCATTGTAGTGATGAAATATTGAATTTAACCTCCATGTTCAAGATGCTGCATCTAAATATCTACATCCAACATGCAAGGGTATGCAATGTAGGACAACTAGCATGCAAAGGTTCGTCTCAAATACATCTTCATCTGTGCTTCAATTGATTGAAATTTATGATGTTCAAGATGGAATTTTGTTGGTGTGTCTCTCTTTTTAAGATTTTGGTAGCACTGGATTTGTGAAAGATCAGTTTTCTTCTTCTATTTCGGTTCTTACAATCAAGAGTTAGTTTTGACGATCTGTCCCACTTTCTGATTTTGTCAGAAATAACAAATTTTTCTTGGGATCAAGAATGTTGTTTCATTGTCTTTTGATCTATTGAATTGAAACATAATTTATAATGACTTGTCTTTCTTTCAATCTGATATTTTGTTTGTCCAAAAAGATGACTTAATTTGGCATGACATCCATCTTTTGGGGTTTTCTTTCCTTTCTTTTGTTTCACTGAGAACCATGGTTGTAACCTGTTGCTTAGAGAAATGTTTTTAATTCTGCAAGATATTTAGTACAAAGCCAAGTTTTGGCTTGTATAATAAATGTTGATATTGCTATAATTTATTTACTACATAGTTGAGTCTTAAATGAGTTATTGTTGGAAGTCTGCTGATTAGCTACTTCAGCGACTGAGAGAAAACATGTTTCTTGCTTCATTGCCCTTGGATTAAAATTTGACATCAATTCAAAGGATGTTTAAATCTGGTTCAACCCAGTACATCACATAACGTAAAGACAGGAATCCAATCGGGCTTGACAATCACAAAAGAGAAAGTAGCAAAGAGTGTTTTTTACAGTGGGAATGACAGCTACCTCCAAAAACTACTCTCTTTAGGAATGAACTTGGACGGCATCACTTGTCTGATTGCCATCATCCGCTAGCAACACCTCAAGGAGTTACTCGTGCCATCTGTAATTACAAATAAGTATATAGGGATTTCTCTTTCTTCTTATTCATGTTGTCATTATCACCCTACCAAAATTTCATAGGAGTTATTTTTTTGGCAGAGAAATCCCTCCATTTTAGAAGGACGAGTTACTCATGCCATCTATAACCACAAAAAAGCATACAGGCCAAGTAATAAGCTTCTATGTTCCAATCAATGTAGTGCAGAATTTATAGAGAAAAGGTCATCTGTGTTCGACTTCCTTACCTTTTGGTTGGTCTGAGGATATATCCATAATTCAAGCCTTGGTGCCTTTATTAATCAACTATAAAGTTGATCCCAAATGCTATAGGTTGCTGCTTGAGTACTTTATTGTATGCATGACTTATTGATAGATATTTGCTGTTTTCTTATGACACGAGTTAACAAATGCATCCTCCAAGAACTTGTCTTCTGTGTTGACACTTCATGTTCATTTCACATGGATTTTACACCTTTTGCCAGGTGTTCTAACACACTATCCTCAAATCTTTTTCCGACAGGAAATCTGGATTCGTAGCTGAGATTCATGTCCTTGATGATCAAAACCAGCATGTCCAAGCACTAAAAGTTGGTGCTTGTTTCACCAACTACTACCGTAAACAAGAGTAATTCGCTATCCTTCATATAGTGTGCAATGTAGTTTACAATATTTCAGTTAAAATAAGAAATTTGTTTTGCCAGCATACTTGTATCTTAGACCACACCAAACGCTATATATCAAGAATGATGGACGACTAATTGATTCTATAGCTGACATATCTATTTGTGCTGGCAGTATTGGCCTGCGATCGTCTCTTTCTTCTGGTGGTTGGTCCTCAAAAGTAAAAGAAGAGCTGAAGGGTTCAACTTCTAGTGCTTGCTTGCCTGTCATATAAGTTCAGATGATGCAACATGGCAACTCCCAGCATTCGCAATGGGACAAAATATCCACTGTGATGCATGGTTCGTTTAGAATTTATCTATCAAAACACCAGCAGTGGCTTCACAATTCTAATGAAACTGGAGATTCTCAGGGTCGGTCCGCCCCAACAATGACTGAGGTGCATGGAACCTGGTGGACTGAGGAAACTCGTGGACCATTAATGTCTCCTCGAGCAAGCTGTCGCCTCCTTCCTCTCGACAGCTAGCTGTTCTCGGAGCACATGGGGCGTGACTTCTTCTGGATGCGGCACGGGCGCCTCCGAAGCACAGATCACCGAAAGCAGGGGAGCACTTGAAACAAAATAAATTGCTCGTGATGCTTGTGTTGTTGTTCGTATTGTACAGTTTCTACAGTAAACTCGTTCATATTCCTCAAGAACAAAAGCTTCTCTTCCTGCGTCGAAGAAGACCTGAGGATCAAATTGATTTGGATGGCATTTGTCCTCTCTGAAAACAAATGCTATTTTGTAGCACACCAATCGAGGAAAGGGTTTCTTTTGTGGAGGATTAAAGATCCACATTCTTCTCCCAATTGCAGGAGGCAGAAAACAGAGTTGAGACAGCTTGCTTTACGATTAAATTACCATCTTTTTCTTGTCACCAACGAATCCGGCCAACATTTTAGTAGATCAGTCATGGAATTCAATTTTTTTATGCGTGGCTTACGTTTCGAGGTAAGCCATCGAACACCTGCCGAGCCAGAGCTCGGACAGGTGACCTGACAGTAACTGGGGAGGGATTTGTGGTGCAAGCGAAGACGTGATGCCCACATGTCATTAGAAGACAACGACGACGGCCGCTGATGCGTTGCTGCTGTTGGTTATTAATTGGCAATCAATCATGGAGTCCTCCCCATTCCATGGAGATTTAGACCGTCCTCCTGCTCCTCCCCCCTGTGCGGTCGAAACCCCGAGAGGAGAACCGTCGCCAACTTCTCAGATCTGGTCTTCTTCCCTTGCCATGAAGGCCTCCCCCGCGGTCTCCGTCTTCGGCGCCAAGGCGTCGGACTCGTCCACCCGCAGGTGGATCTCCCCGCTCCTCTTCCTCATGGTCATCGCCCTCTCCTTCACCTTGCTCTACCGCACTACCACGCCGGCCGTCCTTTTTCCCCCGGCGTCCCTCCGCGTGGAGCTCGGCCCCCCAGTTGCCGTGCAGCGGCCGGTCGACTCCGCCGTCGCTTCCGACCCGTTGCCAAGCTCCTCTCCTCGTCCTGTGCAGAATGGACCGGTACAGTATGTTCACTAGGCAAGCACATTGATCCGAGGCCTGATCTGATGGAATGGCGCTGTTGCTGCTGCAGGAAAGCCAAGATGTCCGGCTGGAGAGGGTTCTGAGAGCAGCGGCCACCAGAGACAACACGGTAATATTGACCTCCTTGAATGCATTCTGGTCTACGCCCGGTTCAGTGCTGGATCTCTTCCTCGAGAGTTTCCGCGTCGGCAACGGGACGAGCGAGCTCCTCAACCACCTGGTGATCGTCGCCGTGGACGACAAGGCATACGAGCGATGCCTCGCCGTACACGACCACTGCTTCGACCTCAAGACCGAGGGGGTGGATTTCTCCGGCGAGAAGGTCTTCAACACTCCGGAATACTTGGACATGATGTGGGCGAGGCTGGATTTTCTGCGCGTGGTTCTCGAGAAAGGTTACAACTTCATCTTCTCGGTGAGTTCAATCTCTTCCACAGCAACCATGCTTCATCAATCCGTGGACTCTGTTGTCGCCGCTCTGAAGCAGCAATTTCGTGGGAAAAGGAAAACAAAATTCTGCTTTTTTAAGTTCACCCACGCAAATACCTTATTTTAACTGGCTCCGGCTGTTAGTTCAGGTGGGTCCTACGTGGATCCTATCTGTTTTGTCGTCTCACCAAGCAGGTAGACGAGGGTGTAACTATTCCCATGTCATGTTTGAAGGCGCGTCTAAATAAGGCATAGATTCACAATTACAATGGTTAGATACACCTCGGACATTGATTCTGTCTGTAGAAAATTCTAATTCCATGTCGAGAATACTCGACATATTACTGATTTGGCATTGAAGTTGATAACCAAAGCACTCAAACTGTGATCTATGAACCGATCGCCTGAGTCCCATATTTACACCTTATATGCATTTCTTCACAAGGAAAGTACACATCTGCGATTCATTCAGTGTAGCAAACCTATGCCACTCTATGCTTTTATTTGGTAGAGAAAGTCATGAATCATACTTCAGGGATCCACCATTCGTGCTTCAATAGCTCTAGCATCAAAGATCTAATGAATGACCCACATAGCACTTCAAAAGTTGTCATGAGCCATAAGAGATTCTCAAAGTCCTATGGAAAAGCATCCATCAACGTGCCAATAGTTTATGGCTCTTACTAGATAAAGATCGGACTTTTGATCCTGTGATCTACGGCAGATCAGAGTAAATTCTTGTAAAGAAGTGAATATAGGTATGCTTGGGGATCATAAATGCCAGTCTGTTTCATCAGATCGTATATTCTATGATGTGTGATGACAGCTACAGAGTTTCCTGTGAGACATCAATATGATGCGATTGCAAATTTGCAAGATTTTACACCTTAGCAATCAATACTTATTAGTACTTCATGTCTCTGAATCAAATATGATTTATATATTAATAGTGATTAACTTTTGCAATTATCTATAGTGGTTTAAAATGTTTCCTTGGCAAGATAATGCGGCAGCTCCTCTGCATGTTGCCTTCCAAGGACTGGAAAAATATGCAAGACTGGTTATTGCACTGATGGTGAATACCAAAGTTTGTCACATTGCATTTACCATGGATTTCTTCCTTTCTGGTAGGGGGTCGGTTCTTCGTTTGGTCTCTAGGAAGAGCATGAAAAATCAAGATATCTCATTCATCTACTAGTGTCTTTGATTTTGTCAATAGTTGTGTGCATGTGGACAATTCTTGAAATTTATTGCTCATGGCATCACAACAGAATCATCCTAATTCGTCTGTTGTTGGTTTTGCTGCAGGATGTGGACATAATGTGGTTCCGGAATCCATTGCCCTTCTTCTACCCAGATGGAGATTTCCAGATATCCTGTGACAACTTCTTGGGTGATCCTACTGATTTAAAGAACTGGCCGAACAATGGATTCAACTATGTGAAGTCTAACAACCGAAGCATCGAATTCTACAAATACTGGTACTCATCGCGTGCCAGATATCCTGGAGTCCATGAGCAGAATGTGCTTAACATCATCAAGTATCACCAACATGTTAGGGAGATAGGTGTGAGAATAAGATTCCTGAACACCAAGCATTTTGGTGGGTTTTGTGAGCCAAGCAGGGATCTCAACAAGGTCTGCACAATGCATGCAAACTGTTGTATCGGCCTGCAAAGAAAGATCAGTGACCTAAGAGCTATGCTTGATGACTGGAAGAAATTTATGTCTCTGCCACCTGACATAAAGATATTGAGCCATTACTCATGGAGTGTACCTCAAAGTTGCAGGTATATTATAAATCCTCAATTTGATCATTGAAAATTCTAGGCCTCTTTGCATTCTGAATGAAATCGTTTTTCTTTTTCCCTCATCTCTTTCTTCATTTTGCATAGAGGATGCATAAATAGTTCTTTCATAGAAGCATTCATTCATAGATTGACCTTACGAAGCTGCACGTACCAAATTGTTGACCCTGGCATTAACTTTTTTGATATTTCTATTCGTCGACTACTTATTCTTCCTTTGAGATGCTTCTTAAAACATGTTTATCATCTCTCATCAAATTGCTCCTGTTTATTATCTGTTTACAGGTTACCACCAGGCCTTGGCAGAGACAAGGAAAAGAATCATCACCTCTAAAATTCTTGGTACTGTTCATTTCCCTGTTCTTTTGATACATAAATACCCCAGCAGTGCGAACTTTTGGAATCATAAGACTGTCAGGAAAGCAGCAGGTTAGGCTTGAAAGAAATTGAAAGAGTCGATAGGAACTTAGATATGCTTAAGATACATCATTCTTCGCATGTCGTTGCTCTGAGTCTTGCGCTGTAGTGTTGCTGTTTATTTGCAGAAACATACAAATTTTTTTATGTCAGATGACAGGATTTCTCGTTGTTAATAAGATTGAGTTTACTATTCTTTTCTAAATAGCAAGCAACGTAGCATTGCGCCAGACAATTACATCAAGAATTTGTCATATATTGTCCCAAAAAGTCTGAGCTATCTGCCACAGGAAAGGTATTCTGAGAATTCCACAAATGCATCAACAATCAAAAGCTTGTACAATTGACATAATTTGGAGGTCTTCTTCCTGAAGGTTTCAGGAAAGACCACTTCTCACAGATTTCTATACGTAGGAAAGACCACTTCTCACAGATGTCTATACGTAGGAGGCACGGATCATTTAATCTACAGTAATGATACTATGTATACCTTCAATGCACATATTCTTCCAACACAAATACTTCCCAATGTGATATAGTTTACACCTCAAGTCTAATAAATCTCCTGAATGCAACCAGCTGGTCTGAGCAAGAACCATACTATGGAACACGTGGTTTCGGAAGGTCCGATGAGGGAATTAGGTTTGAATCTGTGGTTCAGAACAGATGCTTGATTAATTTCCAGATTCATCAAATGTTCTTCATCAGAACACATCAAAGTAGTCTACAAAATTTACCTACAACCTCACTGAAAATACACGTGGACATGATTTCAATGTCCATCCTTTACAGGTAGAAGAATAGATAAATGGAGGATTAAAAGCTTTAACATTACATATTGCTGTCCAGGGCTCCCTGTAGGAGATGCAAACCTTCCATAGAGATACTCCTCCGAACTCGAGGTCTCGGGATCTCAATGCGAGGAGGTGGATCTGGAGAAAAGCAGATGACCACCACAGTTAGATTGTCGCAAGTGTGTCGCTTCAGTGCTTCTTGCACGAGTTCCCTTGAGCACCTCTCCGGATCATTGTGAGCCATGAGCTCCTTCCTCGCTATCGTCACTGCACATTGACTGCTCATGACATCCCAAAGGCCGTCACAGCCCAGTATCAAAAACTCGTCTTCTTCTGTGAGAAGTGTCTCCTGCAACTCTGGTTCAGCGATCAACGGGCAAGCAGAATCTTTTGAGCCCTTCATGTGCCAGTCACCAATAGCCCTTGCTACCGATAGTTGACCATTGAGATATCCATCATAGACACTACCGCCAAGCTTCTCAATTCTGAGCCGTTCCACACTGCAGCTAGGTTTATGGTCTCTCGAAAGTTCCATAGCTCGGCCACGCTTCCCTAGTACAGCACGGCAATCACCTGCATTAGCAATTAGCAGTGACCTACAAAGGTACAAAAAGCCGGAGTTATTAACATCTAAGGACTTCAAGAGATCAAATAACAGTAACCACCGTACCAATCTTAAACAGCAAAGATACAGCAATAAGCAACCAAACAATCTTGAATTACCTTATAAATATAGTTTTTATGAAGCATATTGTATCAAATTATACAATTAAAATGCAGTACCTCCATTTAAGTGGATACATGACCTGCCACTTCTCTGAAGCCCTGTTAAATTATGATGCAGCACAAAACTTTATATGCATCTGATCATCAAGCAATATGGATGATAAGGTCTGTCAATCTCTAGGGCCTCGAAAGGAATTTTTGCGAGAAAGAGTAATGTTCAAACTTCAAGTATTTCACGTTTCAGATCATTAATATCAGTTAGCTCCACTAAACTGAAGATAGTGATCCGTCAGATAATCATGATTTTCCATAAAATGACAACTTCATTGAACAAGCTACAGTATTAATCTTAAAAGAGATATGATAACCTCTAATGTCACAATTGTGCTGCCACAGAAAATATGTAGATTTCAATGCATTCAAGGCCTTTAGTGCCTATATGATCCAGTATAAAATTATTTTAAACAAGTTTTGAAGCATTAACAGTGAAATCAAATAGCAACTCCCAGTACAACTCAACTTTATTGCAACACAAAACTAAATATCATTAGAAAGTGACAACAAATCTTACCTTCCTAAAATAAGAGCAGTAAGTGCTGTCGTTCCAGAGAATCGATCAAGCGAGACAGAATCAGCAAAAGCATAATCAGCTTTGGTAAATGCACTCTTCATGGCCTTCTTCGCACTGACAGGGAAACGATTGTCCTCAGTTATAAATTTGAGGATGTTATTACGAACAAAACATGCTGCATCTTTGCCACCATGTCCATCAAAAACCTGCACACACAAACTGCTAAGTAAGTGCTCAAAAAATTTCTAATATTGAGCAAGAAAAACTATATCAAACACACAATGCTAGGAAATTTTCCAACATGATAAGAGATAAAGAAATTCCTAAAATAAAGACCACATCATGATCAAATAGGAGGCCGTGGCTTAGTCCACAAGTGCACAGAATTGAATTCCAGATCATTGAAGCTCACTCCATAAAAAGCACCAGGTGATGGGCAATTGACAGAAGCTCTAAGATGCTTGACTAGATTATCTATGCAGATATGCTCGTCCTCCATGTATGGCTTTGGCCCAATCTCCGAGCAGCTGCCTGACCGGAACACAGGCAGGAAGGCACTCTGGCCTTCCTGTGGACAAATCAAGCCATGAGTCCCCAGATTCAAGTCCTAAAATATTTAGAAAATGAAACCATGATCACTAAGATAATGATAGTGCAATCACCGGGAAAAAAAGAAATCTTAAAAAGAAGGGACACGGATCAGTTGAACGAACCAGACCGACCAGGCCGACGGTATGTCGAATAACAGAGAGGTGCCGAGGAGGTTTCCCAACTTTCACATCCTTCCTGCCCTCCGAAGTATTGAGATCTTCACTGCCACCAACAATCAAAGAACCGTTCTCCTTGCTTCCGTACTTGCCATCCAGCATCACCAATGGGGGTGGAAATTCTGTACTGGCTGCCATGGAATCTTTCCAAACCATTAAAAACGTACTCTGATATCGAAGAATGATTCAAGGAGACCTCGCAAGCAGTAATACTATTTGCACAAAATGAAACTTTCGCCTCTCAAGCAACCCGAACAAAGGTGATATCCAGCAACCTAAACCTCAAGAAAAGATTCTCCCTTACAAATATCGGCCGCGACGAATGTGTCAGCTCCAAATCTCGATAGCGAATAAATATACGTCGATAGTTCCGAATCGAGCAAGATCCTCCAACGGTGCCAGACCTAATCAAAATCGGTAACAAATACTGTTCCTTCCGGGAAACCCCGCTAAAGATAGAAACTTTGCCACCCAATGCCCCAACATCAAATCAAAACACTGCACAGAAGTCGCCAAAATCCCAATTTTAGCACGCCAATACGACGAATCGAAGGATCCAAACAGGAGAACCAAAGCAATCGACATAAATCGCTCCAACCAACATGTCTTCAAAACAAACCCTAGAACGTACCAAAAGGGACAGGCATTTCCACGATATCCCCAACAACTCATCGATCAAAGGCCGTTGCCTTCTCCTCTTTCCGTTGAGTTCGCCGAACATTCTAAGAATAGATGAAAGATCGGGCAGAGTATTGCACCACAAAAGAGTCGGAAAACAGATGCAAAATCGATAGCTTGGAAAATAAGAGAGGGAAAAAGTATGAAATAGAATAGGGGACATTTAATACCGAAATCTGGTGGAGTACAATTAAACCGGATTGGGCAACCGACACGCTAGCGCGGCCCGATTGTGGTTGACTTGGATCACCGAATTGGTGCCAATGCTTAATCCAAATCGTCCGATCGACTCCTTTGTGTGATGCTGTGGACGGCCAAGATCGTGCCTGTTATTATGATGTGAGATCGATATCAGGCTATCAGCCATGGGACCGTTTTGTGGGTCCCACTTAGATCCGCCAATCGTGATGCAGGTTGGCCAAGGTGTAGAATCAACATTGCCAGTTTAACGAGGGGAGCTGCCAAGGGTGACAGAGATCAGTGGATCGATTAATTGATGGATTTTAGGTGTTGAATTCTCATCCAGAGATATTATGTCGTAGAAAGTACAATCACAAAACATGTCCCATATTTCAATGGTTCATAGCACCAGTTCGACGTTTGGTTCATCGAGACTGATGGGAGGAGAATCCAATTGCTTCTTCTTCTTCGTGATGTGACTTCTGGGCGGGGGCGGCGGCGGCGGTTAGTGAGTGCAGTACAAAGAGAACTTTTCTTTCTCATCCAATGATCGCTTGGGTCGTTGAAGAGCATGTATACTATAAAAAGGAGAAGAAAAGAAGGCTTTTCTATTAATTTTATTGTTCCAAAGAAGCCAATCCACTGGAAAGACTGCAGGGCGGACCAAGTTTTGTGCCGAGGACACAGGAAGAAGGGGCACTCGGATGCTGCGCGTGGCCAATGGATTCGAAACGATGTGGACTCTCGACTCCGTTCCATTACCTTGTCACGAAGTAATGTTTAGTGCATTGCCCTTTACCTAGTCTGCTGCCAGTGTGCAGAGACGCATGGATCCCCTGTTTCCGAGAGGATTGTCCACGCAAAGGTGTTCGACCAAATGCCTCATTCTCGATCACTGAATGGTTAAGTGAGGCAGCACCTCATACTCGATTATCGAAGGAGCCTGTAGGGCCTGGTTTGCAAGAACCTCAGGCGAAAAGACGATATAGCGCAGCCTTGGAGCTTGTTGGTCCAATTAGATTTACAGTAACACATTGTTGCCTTTCACATGAACATTGTCGTCATTTCATCTTAATTTCTTCCCTTCTTTTATATTTGATTTCTGGTCTCTATTACGAAGCGAAGTGCAACTCTGAGCACAACTTTCTCTCGCAAGCGTCTATCTGCTTGTCGATGCCTTCCGCGGCGAGATTTCTCCTGACGGAATCTGAACAGTTACCGTCGTTTCCGCCGTCGGAGTCGGTCCCCATCGACACGGATGTGGTGGTGGTCATCGCCGCCCTTCTCTGCGCCGTGGTCTCAGTCGCGGGGCTTGCCCTTGTCGCCCGCTGCGCCTGCCTCCGGCGCTCGCCCGTGCTGCCGTCCAACAAGGGCCTCGAGAAGGAGGCTTTGCGGGCGCTGCCGACGATCTCGTACAGCGCCGGCGGCGGGGGCCTGGTGGAGTGCCCGATCTGCCTAGCGGAGTTCGAGGAGGGGGACGAGCTCCGGGTGCTGCCGCAGTGCGGCCACGGGTTCCACGTCGGGTGCGTCGACGCGTGGCTCCACTCCCACTCTAGCTGCCCGTCCTGCCGCAGGGTGCTCGTCGTCGCCGCACCACTGTCCCGGTGACGGGGTCCAGTACGAGGTCCGTCGACGCCAAGGGAGTTTGGAGTGACCTGTTGCGTTATGCGGTATGTCAGTAGCAGAACAGTATCGTGTAAAAATAATATAAATTAAAGAAAAAAAATCCAAAAAATCCATATTTCTCGTACTATTTAATTCATGAGAACTTCTTTATCAAATACAATTTCTTTAACTAAATCCACGGAAAAGAAATCCTTCTTTTCCTTTTCACCTCAATGGAATGGCTGTCGTATTCACCATCTCTTCACAAACTCATGCTACTGCCAGAACTACAAATACTTCTCATGCGGATATGGTAGGTAAATTGTTAGATGAAAGGATTCAGGAACATTGATGTGATGGGCTGATACGATAAGATCGTTCTCGGGAAGCAGATTTCTGTAAAATTGATGTGAACATAAAAATTGAGATTCCTGTAGGATAATATGAACGAGGGGTTGGAGTTTGACGGCAAAAGAAAGTGCTCCAAGAGCAATTCTCATATCCCATACGCTACAGTAGATCCATATCTGCAACAGTTGGTGCAATTACAACTTGTCCTCTCAGGAGAACCTCAAAAGAATAAAAAAGAGAAAGAAGAAAAGTCATACTTTTGGACAGATCTTCTTGTGACTGATGATTGATGATGCAACATGAGTTACGGATAGAATTGATTATGCTGTGGCATACTCTAATGAACGATGCTAATGGAAGACACACTGCGTCACGATGGCTTGATGGCTACTGCAGATTCATTCATCTGCCACCGAAGGAACATTGGCTCATCTGTCCACCGGCAGACATTAGGTGAGAAGGAAGAAGCTGATCGACCTCACGTGGCGAGCGCGTCACAGGCCATATGAACGCAGGCTTTTCAGGTTGCAGGATTCGGAGGGAGAGCTCCACCGGTCAGAACTTGGAGAGCCATCCTCATGGATGGCCTTGTTGTGGGGTTTGGATGCAACACACTAATGCCAACCTCACGCCATCTGCACCTCATCGTAGTCTCCGCTCAGCCTGGGATCCGCCGCGTGTAAAATGTCCCCGCTTCCGTAGATGTCCCACAACCAGTCCACTATGTACCTTGATCCGTCGGTCCTCATCACGGTTGATGAGGATAATAATGGCGACATGATGCATCACGACGTCAGCCATGGCTGGACGACACTCTGCCCGAAAGAGGGCAATAATGCCGACACGATGGGCGCTGATGTCACCCACTCTTAGACGAAGACTTCATCGTTGCCTGATCCAACGCGCTCGACTAAGGCAGAGGAGAACGACCACCGAGGCATGCCCATACCCTACGGCAGCTCGGTTCTCCACACAACGACAAGGGTGATGTCAGACGCCATCAGAGGTACGATCCTGCCTCCTGCAGGCAGGCACATCAGGTAATACTAAACTGCCCTATAAATACCCCCTGAGTTCTAAACTAGGGGGGGGACACTTCTTCACCAAAAAACTCCTTCCACATCATCTAACTTGATCGTCGGAGGGGTCGGGCCAAGCTTCCGACCCGACCTGTGTGCAGGTACAAGGGCGAGATTGCATCTTCCCAGCGCCGCGGAAAAGCTTCACTCCCCACGCAACGTCCCGCTCGGACCATCGTAACCGACCACCCCAACTGTCCCGAGGAACACCGCGCAAGATCCTTGCGCATTCGGACCCGAACCAAGCCGCGTCGGCCTCGAGGCCACGGCATAAAGTTGTTTACACTAACATTTTGGCGCTAGAATGAGGGCATCGAATGTCGAGCGATCAGCAGATCCACTCTGGTGAACCCGCAGCCATGGGGTCGTGTCCAGTCAACACCCCAGAAGAACATCCCCTACGAGATGAACCCCGAGACAAACGCCCTGCCACGACATCGGAGCGCTACTGGCGGCTGTTCAACGACCCGGGTTTGTCGCCACCCGACGCTCCCATCGGCCCGTCGCCTGTATCGCCCGAAGCCTTCCACGACCTCGCTCATCAAGTCCGAGCACCGGCGGGCGTGGTGCAGACTATCATCCCGCTCGTCTCCCAACCGACACCCCCACATGTAACCCAGCCTCTGCAACAGCGGGAGCCCCCTACCCGAACTCATGCACCACTTCCCGAGCTCCCTACTTCGCCTCGAAACCGAACAGCCCAGCCCGGGAACCGAGAGGCGGAAGACACGTCGAGTCGCCTAGAGCCTGAGGTGCTATCCGCGGACTCGACAAACGCCCTGCGAGCCCAGTTGCGCCTCGTTAGTCAACGCCTCGACGAAGTACAGCAAGAGGTTCGCAGGTCAAAAGGAGAGCTCGGAGCGGACGGACACCAAGGGTCCCCGTTTGCACCCGAAATACAAGATCAAGTGATCCCACCACACTTCCGGCTCCCTTTGCTAGACGCTATGACGGCACCACTGACCCCGCGGACCACGTAGCCGCATTTCGCGCCCAAATGGCGCTATATGGGACTTCTGACGCCTTGATGTATAGGGCGTTCCCAACGACTTTGAGGGGGCCGGCCCGTGCGTGGTACAGCGGCCTGAAGACCGAGACCATCACTTCCTTCGATTAGCTCGCCAGAGACTTCGAGCTCAACTTCCTGGCCTACGGCCGACCGAAGCCGTCCATGGCGTTGCTCCTCAGACTCAACCAAAGGGAGGACGAGCCCCTCTCCCATTTTGTGAACCGTTTTACGATGCAGATCCGAGAGCTCTCAGACGCTCACCCCTCTATATTGATGCAGGCATTCATGATAGGCCTGTGGCCTTCCAGGTTCTTCTGGTCTCTGGTGGAGCGACCCCCCACGACGGTACTCGAGATGCTCCAGCGAGCGAGCCAGTTCATCGCCGCAGAGACATGGATGGCCGGGAGGCACGAAGAGCACAAGAGGGTCAAGCCGGAGCCGCCCCGGCAGCAGCAATCCGCGGCGCCTCG